TTTAAAAAGGATAATTAAGTCAATTTGTAAAATCATGAAAAATTTTCTTATTAAGCGCTACTTAAAGTAAATTTTGGATTTTTTTTTCAGATTCAGATCACGATTTTATAAATTTTCAGATATTTAGGATATCCGATATACAAAATGATATATATATATATATATATATATATATATATATATATATATATATATATATATATATATACTAGTTTATAACCCGTGGAAACCACGGTTATAAATGTAATTCAATTTTCATAGCAAAAATTCGTAATTATTAATCAATTATTTTAAATAAATAATTTTAAATAAATTATTAATTAAGAGATATACCAAAATTTTAAAGTTAGTGAAAATTTCAAATTTAACATATAATTAAAAAAAGTAAATGTTTCTATAAAAAGTTAAAAATCTATTATTTAAAACCTTAACCTCATTAATTGTGATAATGATTTGCCTAATATATCTCTTTGATACATGACATAATATTAATGTGGAGTTGTATTAGAGCGACACATGGTAAAAGTAGATTAAAACTATTCTTTTATATATATATATATATATATATATATATATATATATATATCTATATATATATATTATTTTTTTTAAATGAAAGCGGTGAAAGAACTACTACTAATATTGATTTCATAGCGTAAAAAATTGGAGACTTTCAAATCCACATGAACCCTATATATATATATATATATATATATATATATATATATATATATATATATATATTAATTTTTTAAATGAAAGCGGTGAAAGAACTACTACTAATATTGATTTCATAGCGCAAAATTGGAGACTTTTAAAATCCCCATGAACCCTATATATATATATATATATATATATATATATATATATATATATATATATATATATATATATATATATATATATATATTAATTTTTTAAATGAAAGCGGTGAAAGAACTACTACTAATATTGATTTCATAGCGCAAAATTGCAGACTTTTAAAATCCACATGAACCATTTCGAAAAAGAAGTTTAATGCAAGGACGTTGCCATACAACAAAAAGCTCTGCACCGACCTTTTGTTTTCGTAAAACTAGTGAGTGTGGTGTCATACTTGTCATGGTCCATATAGGCGTCACGTTATTTTTGCCACATTTTAGCAAAAACTTGTCATTTGCATGGCGTGGGTTGTTGTACTTGCCACGTTAAATATCTTTTTTTTAATTAATTTAGAAAATAAATTTTTCAAACATATATATTTAAAAAAAAAACTTAATATTCCTTAAAATAACATAGAAATTCAAAAAATAAAAAACATAGAAATTAAAAACATCACAAGACCTCTATAAATTTAGAAAATCACACTACAAATTCAAACACACAACTCACTAGAAATTAGAAGAGAAAGACGTCAAATTTGACGTGATTTGAGACACTCGCTCATAATTTGCCAAAATTCAAAAAGTTTAAAATCTTTGTCAGTTTCAACACGGTAAGCCTCAAGAGCATTCTCTAGTAAAGTATTTTCGTTTTCACCATTTCCAGCTTCATGCATCACCCTACGAAACACAATGGTAAACCGAGTTGCGAGCGCATGTACGTTTCTCCATTTGGCGTAGAGTATATCTTTTCATCGAGGTTCAAGGATTGGCGGTTGCATATGTCGGTGACTCTCCTCCAAAAAGTAGTTGAATGACTGTCATTGTGGGTTGGATCTTCAGGCACATCAATCCATAAATGAGCGAATAAGTTTTTTTCTTCAGTAGACCAAACAATAGTTATTTTTAGTGATGAGATGTAGAAAAAGATGAAAAAAAAATAAGAAAGTTAAAAGAACAAAATAAAGAAGATTTGAATGTGGTAAAAGTGTATAAATATGAGGGTATTTATAATTAAAGATTGAGGGTTAAATTTTGAAATTAAAAAAAAAAACGGTTATATTTTTGAAATTGAGTATTTTTTTGGGAAATAGAGAATTTTTTGAAAATGGAATTTGAATAATAAATGGTAAAAAAAAGGAAATTGGGTATTCTCTCTCATCGGTAACTCTTTGCCGAATTGCCAAGCCGAGCTTGGCATGCCTCGGCCTCGGCCCGATATTCGCCGAAAATATCGAATCCGTTCCCGAAGCCACACCGACTAGCCTAATTAAATCAAATTTTCATACATAAAACTACGCATTCAAATGATTACTGTAGTTTAAAAACCCAGAATTGGATATTTAGAGGTAAAAAAAGAATCGGTGATAATTAGATATGCATCATTTACCTTGGAATATTTGTTCTAATAACTTTTTACTTACTTGATTACGTTGAATTTACCGATATTCACAGCATAAAACTATAATTATTGGATTGACAATATTCCCAAAATACCCCTTGACCCTCCAAGATTGGATATCTTTATTTTTGTTAAATTGCTTTTCTAACAAGAAAAAGGAGTATGAATGTAAGATCACAACCCGGGCCCATTCCACCACATGCTACCAATCTAAAAAGGTGATTGATTTTCTCTTTCCTTTCCTAGAACTAAAAAGACAATAATCCTTATTTTCATTATATTCTCATCCATATTAAGATAAAATTAATTACCATACTAAGTAAACCATTACGATTTCCAATCATTAGTTAGTAGCTAACCAAAAAAAAGGTATTTTTTGTTCATTTCTAAATAACCATGATAACACGAATTGAACTTATGAGCACAAATTAATGTTGAGACTTGATATCATAACTACATGAAAAGGTTAGACTATTAGGTGTGGGCAACATGTTATTACATGTTATCACACCTAAATTGTCCACCTCATCATCCTAGTCACAATTTGGTGTTATAACACCAAAGGTGGAAATGGGCAACACCAAATAACATGGGATAACACAAATACTATTTTCTATTTCTTTTTTTATTTTTTTTGGATGTTTTTAATTTCTATTATTCTAATTGGTTTTATTTTTTTTATTTACTTCATATATATCTAATTCGTTTTATTTTTTTTTATTTATGTCATATATATAAAAAAACATATAAATTAATAAAACATAATTTCATTAACTAGAAAATTAAAAATACCATACAAACTTAAAAAAACATTGCAAACCAAAAAAAAACATTGAAAAAAAAAACACACGATAGTCCAAATAATTAAAAAAAAAAAAAACACCGACAAACTATTCTTCGTCCAAGTATTTTCTCTCGGTCTTTGCCTTCATCCTCCGTATCACTTCAGCTCGTCTTGGTGGCAAATTTTCTTCGTTTGTCGTAAGAATTGTCAAATCCTTCGATATGCGATCTTGTTCGGCTTCTTGACGAAGGAAATCCAAATGCTCCCGTTGCAATTCATATTTTTTATTTGCGATTTCCGTGTGGGCGTCGAATTTTTTTTTCATGTCCTCGTGCTCTCGAAGCCGACTTTCATTCTCCTGTGCATGTCGTTGCGCGCGCTTGGTTTGTCGCGCCCCATCGGTCGTCGTGGCGGAGAGATTTCCTCGATGTCATCAAACTCGTCCGGGATCTCATCGGTGTCCGCGTTGAGGTCGATGTTCGTGTGTCCGTCGAAAACGTCAACCGAACCCGAACCACGAGACCTCTTTGATTGTTGTTCCGATGATATTGGCGTTTTCACCCATTTTGGATCTTTCCTCACTATGTCCCATACTTTTTCATACTCAAATATGTGCCCCATTTGCACGTGATATTCCTCCCTCGCGGCTCTAAACACATCGAAATCATTGGCACCACTTTGACGTTGCGAAGAAAGTTTGTTGTATATGGAATTGAATTTGGTGCACTTCCGGCTAATTTGAGTCCATTTGCCACTAAGCATATCATTATTGCGATATGTGTCACCCTTGTTCAAAATCGTGCGGAATTTGACAATTACAGCATCCCAAAAAGCAACTCTCTTCATATCGTTCCCCATAGTTGGTTGTTTTGAAGTACCGCACCAAGCCACCGCCAACGCATGCTCTTCCTCCGGTGTCCACCATGTTGGAGGTGCTTCCGTTTCATCTGTCCCGACAACAACCTCTTTCCCTTTCTTTTTTGGTCTCCCTTTTTTTCCCGATGCTCTCTAACTACCCCCGGTTTGCGTCTCGACAACCGTTTTTTGCGTGGGTGTGGGTTGTGTGACTGTTTGGGGCATGGGACCGAATGTGTTAAAAAGGTTTTGTTGAATGTTTGCATTTTGTTGCATAAATGGCGAGGTAGGGAATTGTAGTGGGGGTGAGGCGGGATTGAAAAAATTGCCGGAATATGGAATTTGTGGTGAGTTTTGGGAGCTTAGAAGGTTCATGTATCCCTCATATCCCGCAAAACCTAACGGAGTGGATGTATTTGTCTTCGGATGATGGGTATTCAGGTTTTGATCCATAATGGTTATTTTGTTTTGAATGAAATAGAGATAGATATAGAGAAATAGATATAGATATACAATAGAGGAATTGAAGTGAATAAAATTATATATATATATATATATATATATATATATATATATATATATATATATATATATAGTTAAAGTAAATTAAGAAGTAAATTTTTTTTTTCATTTCACCGTATCAAACAACTGTAATATTACCGTTTTTCAACGGGACTAAATGCACAACGGTCAAAATTTTGGCGTTATGACTCGTTACCACGGTAACGCCTGATGGCGTAACGCACAATAACATGGGGCTGGGGCGGTGTTCCCCGTTATGGCGCCGTTAAGCGCTCCTGCCACGTAAGATAACGCGGGTTCCGCGTTGCCCACACCCGGTTGTCTTATGCAATTTACATGTAAAGTTTGATGACCTATGAGAAAGTTACTTGACCCTGGTTTATGTGTTACATCACTCACTTGTACAGTACAACATATGACGCACATAGAACAAGATAAAAAAATTTTGGTCCAACCTTAAAATAATTAAGATGGGATCTTTGTTGGCGGCTTAAAAAAAGAAAACAAAAAAATGAAATAAATCTAAACGACTTCATGGATATATCAATATATTAATTTCCAGAAACATAGAACAAACATGCATAATCGAATCCGACTGAATATCCTGACTCAAAAACTTCTAGAATTACAGAAAAACACATCCAATTTCCCAGTTATTCCTCACGATTCATACACAGGTTTTAGTTTTACACACGTACGCTACAAGTCGAAATACAACAAAGGGAAAAAGAACAGAATCCGTGATAGATCAGGGACTACCGGTGTTGTTTGGAGGAGGAAGAGATTCACCTCCGCCGGGGTCTCCATCGCCGCCGGCGGTGTCGTTGTTGTTGTTGTCAGTGGTGGTGATAGGGTTGTTCCTGATGAAACCAAGGGTTTCCACTGTTTTGATGGCGATTGAAACGACAACATCGGAAACCTCGTTGTACACTTGAGTTTTGATCTTTCCTCTTTTGATGGATGGAGCCATTGGGATCAGAAATTGGGCGGAATTTGGTGACGGAGTAAGAGTAATTGCCGACTGCCGAGTGAAGTGCTGTTTGATCGGTAATTGGTTTCACAGTTCATACTTCATACCTTATATAGTTGAAATGGGTACAACTACGGTGGATCAGAAAAATTCCGACCCGTAGTTTGGAATTCGGGTTTTTAGACATGATTTCGGGTCGTGATATTTTCCATGTGTTAGATACGTGGTTATTTATAAAATCAAGTTATATGTTTTTTAGTTCTTAAAAGTGGTTTTTGTTAAATATGTCTCCTTATTTTCATATTTTGGCTAGTTTATAGAAAATTCTAAAATTTATTTTTTTAACAGAAAATTCTCGATTATTACGTAAGAAATTCGAAAAATTCTTATACGGTGGAATAAACATAAAAGTTTAAAAAAAATAGAGGGGGAGAAATGATATTTTACAAAGTACAAAACGAAGGGGGTGTAAAATGACAGTTTACAAAATAAAAGGATGAAAAATATCAATTTAGAAAAAATATTTTAAAAAGGATGAGATGAAAAATACCATTTTTGAAAGTTAACGGTGAGCAGTGAAAATATTTACTGACACTGTCTTTTGATATATAATATAAGGTTCAAGGGTGTGGGATGGCATATAGCTCGTCAACCCCATGACATCCATGGTATACACTGTCCCATGATGGTGACGTGCAAAGCTTCTTGGCTTCAAACGACATTTGAGAGAGAAAGAGAGAGATCTTCATTGCAAAATTGGTATACTATGTCTAGTGTATGGTTTAGTTAGTAGCAAAATGAGGAGTGTGGTAATGGTGGCACCACACCCTCCAGCCTAATTTCACTCGTCCGAAAAGGAAACAAATTTAAATTCATCCCTAGTTAAGGTTTGTTCCTATATTAGAGTAAGATTGGTGGGTGTTATTGATTGGTTTTGATAAGCTAAAAATGATCATTTTTATAAAAACAATTTTAACGGCAAACAAAAGACTTTTAAAATAACTAGTTTATTTTTATATCATTTTAACAAAACCACCAAGAGGATCCAAATACATGAATTAGAAATATAATAATAACCAAAGGAAGTTAAAGAGATAACGTTTGAAGCCTTTGATCCCACTTGGAATTGGGGAGTTGATAAAGATAGCAAAAACTCAAGAAAAGAGTTTCTCTACAATGTATCCACCTTCAAGAGTAAGACACTTGAAATGCTAGTTCACATATTGTATTTTGATTTTCTTAAGCCTTTAAGTGCTTACCACAAATAAGCACTAAAGGAAAAACACAAAGAAGCACCAAAGACTTGCAACAGTCATCAAAAGAAAGCAAGAGGATGAGCATGAAGTGCATGCTACAGTTTGGAGAAGAGAAGAAGAAGAGAGTGAAGACTAGCCTCAAATGCAAGCCCCATGCACTTCTTTTAAGTCCCATGCAAGTCAAAAACTACCCCATTTAATAATATCAAGTAATCACTAGACATTAGAGGCATGAGGAACAAAAGAGGGACGTTGGCAAGCAACATCACGTGCCCCTCAAACTTTCGGTCATACATGATATAAAGAGACAAAATGATTTTCTAGTTAAAACAACTAGATAAATGTAAGTAGTTAGTTAGTCAAAAGTTAAGCAATATGTCCAAAACTTTGTACACGACTTATTAAATCCTATTATATGATATAATAACTAGTTATACTCTCTTTAATTATTTTTTTCACAAAACAATAATTATTCTCTAATTAAATACAAGAGTCGATTTTATTTATTAATAATCACAATAATAATAAATATTCAAAATATGCCAACTTGATAAAGGTGTGACCCTATAGGATCATATGTTATTAACAATATCATTCAATAATGATTCAGGAGCATATAGATCCAACAATCTCCCACTTGCACAAGATTCATTACAGATTGACATAGACAGTAGTTGGCGTTTAGCAACGGGCTACTGGCCCTAAAACACACTAAGGTGTGGCTATTCCAGAAGCTCAAAACTACAATTGTTAGTAAAGGTGTGGTATCGATTATTCTTTTTTCTCATACATCATGTTGAACATGAGATATTGATCGCGATCAATCTCATGTGGTGTTCAACTTTTAGTAAGGCCATAGATGTCTAACTCTCAACGAATAATATGTACAAATCTCATCTTGACTACATACGCTCATTATGTAGTTCATGTTCTACCCAACGATGACCCTTATAACTGCCTTTTACGGAACAACGTTAAACCATGTCAAAGCACAACAATTCCTACACTCAAGTCCCAAATATGTATCTTAGGTGGAATAATACAAAAATACTACCTTTTATCAAACATCATTTATGACTACGATCCACAAAGGGATTTTGAAGCGGGTCATGTCCAATACTCATTCTCCTAATCAAGTACCTATGAATTTGGTCTCAGCTCTTTGTATTTTCATCTTTTTGAAAGTCAATCAATATGTTCATATTAGTCTTACCTTATAGCTAATCTCTCAACTATGAATGACTATGGACAATTAGAATAACTAAGTTATTCAAGGATCATGTCACACCCTCAAACCGGAACGGCGGAAACGTTCGAGGGCAGAGGACGTCATGTACAATATCACAACAATTGTATAATAGTAATCAAAGCAACAATAACCATTGTATTAATAACATAGTATTTACATTGTGTTCAAAACATTACTTGTTTAACATAAAAACTATAGCAAAAGATAAGATGTGAATGCTACTATGCTCCGTCTTTGCAACGCTTGAGAGCGTACCTGTCTACTAACTTTCCTGAGAATACAAGTGGTTTGAAAAAGTGTCAACATTTAAGCTGGTGAGTTCATAAGTATTTTGTTGGAAAAGATATGTTCTTTGTTATTGAAAATGTTAATGTAATCTTCCAGAAAATCCAATATTTTGTAGTAAATAAATCGTAGTCTTAGTACTTTGAGACTAAAAAGTACTAGTTTCTTATGTTTATAACCTGTGATTCGAGGTTCTGATTCATGTAATTGGTATGACTCGTACTGTTACCTCCTATGATTACTTAGTGTATGCAAATTATATATAATTAAAATCGAACGGACAGTCGATTGGGTGATTATGCCCTAAGCCCACAACCAAACAAGGAACAGGAAGAAAGGCGGAAATCACACATTCCATTTCCTATCGGATATTACTTATATATAACTCTAGTGTCTACATTAAAGAATCATATAATTAATAATTAAGGTTCCTTTATATTATACTAGTTTGTAAATAAACACTGAATCTTTTATAAAAATGTTCCCAATTCCACCCGCTCTATTGTAAAGTACTGTCTTCGGTAAGTAATCGTATTTGTTTTCAGAAAGTTGAAATGTAAACTATTTGTTTGAAAATCATGATGTTTATCCTAGAAAATCCTGTATTTTCCATAAAAACCGATATGTAGTCATAAACGTTCTGAGACCGAAAAGTACAAGTATAATTGTCATACTTAATTTAATGATACCTAGTATTATTCATAAGTAAAACTAATTGAAGTTGTGTTTGCTCTGAAATCCGAATGTAAAGTTAATATTCAAATAAAATTATTTGAAAATATATTATTCGTAAATATGTCGTTGTTTTCTACTTGTGAGTTCTTATAACCATACTAACCCAGTCGGTCTGATCGCGACGTTTTTCAGGCGTCGGAATGTTAACGACATTTGTCACCCCAGGCCTGCCGTCCTGACTGTAGCTAACAGTCGGGATGTGGGATTATTAGTCTCAAATAGATCTATACACAAATATCTCGCTCTCCCTACAAGAGACTCTGGTGTAACGCCCGTGTTTCTAGGCTAGGCATTAATGATGATGTAATAGTCTAGGTTAACCTTTGTAACTCATTTTGAAATAATAGAAATGTATTATTTGAGTATTATGTGTTTTATGCTTAATTGTGTAAATTAAAATGAATTAAGGATAAAAATGGATGTTAAAATGAAATATTAGATAAGCCTGGTATCTATGAAAGAAGTCGTAGTGGTCGTGACGAGGATTCCGGAAATATAAAGAATGCCGAAATCCGAGTTATAACGAAGAAGTTATGACCTGTCGAAGTTTCGCGACAGAACAGGTACGACACTGTGTGACGTAAATAGTGAATTTACGATAGAGCAATTTTTAGCCTTAGTGATCTAAACAAAAATTGTAGAATACGTTAAACCGAGAGCGTGCATAAAAAGAACGTCTAAATCTGACTTCGTATGAGGAAGTTATGATTTTTCGAAGTTTCAACTTAGCAGTATGCAACCCAAAGTTCTATTATGAGATCGAATGATTTCTAACCGAAACAATCAAAATGATAATCGAAGATCTCGTTAATAGTAGTGCAACGGTAAAAAGGCAGACGAAAACGGACGTCAGATGAAAGAGTTATGAATTTTTAACGGACTTTTCCTGTCCCGGCCTGTTAAAAATATAATAATAAAAATAAAAGTCAAAGTTAGCCGACGGAGTCTAAATGAAAGTTGTAGAGCATAGTCTCACCTACGCGTGGATACAAAGAACGTCAAAAACGGAGCTCATATGTGGAAGTTACGTATTTTTAAAGTTTGATAAATCGGAGTATGCCCAGCGTACTCATGATTCATGGTCTGAGTTGGGCCACGTTGCCCTAGTCCATCACTTGAGTGCCTCGGGGCCGAAGCCTTGACGCATCCGATCTGATTCGCTTAGTACGCCCAGCGTACATGTCGACGAGCCAGTACGCCCAGCGTAAATCGAGGGTTCAACCCCTATAAATAGGAAGCGAGACCTCCGGGTTTTGTTGCTAATTTCCATTCTTTCACCCCTTTTTCTTTCTTCTACTTTGCGAGAAATATCCCCGAAGTCTCGGTATCATCCCGAAACCCGAAGCAAGTCCCGAAGCACCGAATATCCCAAGAAGAAAAGAGTTTTCGAGCCGAAGCTCTGCCCG